GTGGAGGGATTGGCAGAGAGAGGTGGGGAATGGAAGCCACAGGGGGGATTAGCAGAGAGGGGGGGAGGATACTGATCGGTTGGTAAGGTAGATGAGTCTGGCAGCAGCATTCATGATAGGCTGAAGGGGGGAGGAGCCTGTGTAGGGGTCAGTCAACAAGGAAAAAGTTACAGTAGTTGAGGCGAGATATTACAAGGGAGTGAATTAGAGGCTAAAGATGTGCCGGTGTAGTAGGTACTACCCCACTGAGTGAAGGTCCAGAAGGTGGAGGACATCCTTGTGCCATAGTTACACTTGTGTTCTCAGTGAAGGATAAAGGTGATTCAGACATGTTCCCTTTTGATGCTCGGTGTCTAGAATTATACTCAGAATCTGTTCATTTGTCTTTTTACCTTTTTAGGACAGATTTGTGATAACGTCCTCGTCCTGTTCATTTATGTGCAAAACTCCTTCAATAATGATTCCGAGCGTTCCGCCTACAAACCCTTCCAGCACTGCAAACAACTAAATCCTCTCAAATCTCTTTTCTTTGCCTTCAGCTAAATCTCTGTTTGCTTTGTCTTGGCTTCTTCCAGCTCCGCGGCTTTCTGAGGACATTCGCCTTACCTATGAATGAACGATTTGTTATTCGTTTCTTGAATTTCTTGTTCCAGTCTTGGCAGTTCTTCATTGTAGTCACTGAGGGGTCAGCTTATCAATGATTTGCTGTGAAATTCACCCAGTGAATCCTTTACTGCTATTCACCCATGTGAGATTCAGTGGTATATTCCCCTGCATTCCACAGTCACATTCACTCTATTTACAACGGGATGAATGCAGCAGCAGATGAACAACCATAAAGCAGAATGTAGATAAAAACACACGCCATGAAAAAGTCCTTTAATAAAATGTATTTATAAGGAAATGTAAATCCATTGTCAATCATGACAAGCCGCCCCTGATGATCTTTTACTGCCAATACAATGACCTGCCACCTGCCAATGTCTTCCCACTGCCAAATAATGTCTACCCGCCAACACAATGACCTGCCATCTGATGATGCCTTCCCACTGCCTGATGATGTTTCACCACCAACACAACAACCCATCATCTGACAATGTCTTCCCACTGCCCAATAATGTTTCATCACCAACATTATGACCCGTCATCTGACAATGTCTTCCCACTGCCCAATAATGTCTCACCACCAAAACAACAACCTATCATCTGATGATGTCTTCCCACTGCCCAATAATGTCCCACCACCAACACAACAACCTATCATCTGATGATGTCTTCCCACTGCCCAATAATGTCCCACCACCAACACAACAACCTATCATCTGATGATGTCTTCCCACTGCCCAATAAGACAAAAGCTGAATCTCTTCTAAGAAAAGACGAGAAAAGAGCTAAAACTCCACTAGATGGGAGACAAGATGCAGCCGTTGCAGCCGTTAGACCAATGTCATCGTCTGATACGTTTCGTAGGAACAGAGAATAAACATTTGAATTAAATGGACACAGAAGACTCACAGGAAAACTCATAAGCGATAGTTGGCACAGAGTCACAAAAGTCAGAAGATGTCAAACAAACCTACTTTCTTTTTATGAGGAAGTGAGTAATAAATTGGAGGAATGCCTGTGGATATAGTATACTTGGACTCTGACACTGTTCCCCACATGCGGCTCATGTATAAGTTGAGGTCAGTAGGTATCGAGCATTCCATCTGTAATTGGATAGAAAACTGGCTTAAAGACCGTATTCAGTTGTTGGCGGTGTCCCCCAAGATTCAGTGTTGTTGGCGGTCTCCCCCAAGGTTCAGTGTTGTTGGCGGTCTCCCCCAAGGTTCAGTGTTGGGCCCCTTACTGTTTAATCTATTTATAAATAACATAGAGTTGGGGATTAGAAGTACTATTTCTGTGTTTGCAGATGACACAAGTTATGTAGTGGAATTCAGCCCCTACAGGAAGTCTCCAACTTACAAGCAGATTGGAATGCTCTGTGTGATTGGGCAACTATTTGGGAAATTAAATTTAATGTTGATCAATGTAAAGTCCTGCACTTGGGGACTAAAAACCTGCATGCGTCATACACTCTAGGGGGAGTATGGGGTGTTCTGGTAGATCATAGACTGAATAATAGCATGCAGGAAGGATGAGCTGACCTGAATGTGTTCTCTCTGGAGAAGAGGCGACTAAGGGGGGACATGATCACCAGGTATACATACATAGATGGTCCATATAAAGAGCTTGGTGCCAAATTATTCACGTTAAGGTCACTGCAAAGGACAAGGGGGCACTCTTTGCGTCTGGAGGAAAAGAGGTTTAACCTTTGCATACGGAAAGGATTCTTCACAGTTATAGCTGTGACAATGTGGAATAGTCTCCCCCAGGAGCTGGTTCTAGTGAGCTCAGTGACCTCTGTGACGTATTCCTAAATGCACAGAATATTACTGGATATTGAGTTATTAGAGGTATATTAGGCATCAGAGATTGTTGATCCCGGGAATATCCGATTGCCTTATGGGATCAGGAAGGATTTTTTTTCCCCTGTTGGAGCAAATTGAACCCCATGCTTTATAGGTTTTTTTTGCCTTCCTCTGGATCAACAACAGGGGGTAATTGTGGGCGGAGCGTTCTGTTTAGGCTTTTCTTCTCTTAGGCTTTTCTTCTCTTATCTCTATAGGTTGAACTCGATGGACTTGTGTCTTTTCATCAACCTGACTAACTATGTAACTTCCCATTGTCTGTAGTACCCATGTCATGTCTAATAATGATAAGTGATTAGCACAAAGATCAGTTTGCTGGTTGTTGACTAAATAAATTGAAAACATCTGTCATCCCCAAACATAGCACTAAGGATGCCATCCATCTGGTTTTCACCCGGACAGTGCGGTTTTGGAGTCTTGTGTCCGGGTGTCCAGCCAGCAGGCACCCAGACACAACACACTCAGTGCCGACACCGGCACTTTACATTTTCTGACAGATGCGGCTGCCGAGGTCCTCAGCAAGCACGATCTCTGGCAGCCGCATTGGCCTGAAACTGGATCTTTCTCTATGCCTGTCCCTGTTTACAGGTGCCCGCAGCTCAGAGAAATATCCAGGTTACAGGCAGATTGCTACTCCTCCAGGTCCCTGACACCGTGCTGCCCGCCTGCGGACCTCTGGTGAGACACCATAGCCCAGACAGCCCCGAGAGTCGCACAGCCCACCTGAGAGCCCGCACAGCCCTCCTGAGTGTCACACAGCCCATCTGAGAGTCTCACAGCTCACTTGAGTCGCACAGGCCACCAGGAGACATCAGGGTGCCAACCCAGAACAACACAGTGTATGTAGCTTCATGTTATTTTGTATTGCTGTATAATGTATTGCTGGGATTTGTAGTCCTCTATAGCCAGTCTCCTTACTTCCTCCCCTGGCAGTCTCTCCTCTATAATAAAAAAAATTGCCGCGCGTGGCGCCAGATTGTTCAGGTTTCACTTGCAGAAAAAGGTGGCGACCCTACATAGCACTCAACCGCCTATGTCTATGGGAGGCGAACCTTGTTGACCAAACTTCGACTTTCTGCCCTACACATCATCTCTGCTGAATCTTTTGTATGGGATGCCTATGAAGCTGCCACTGACAGAAATAGGACTCCCCAGAGATGGGGGCTTCTTATGTCAGCTAATTAGACCATTTGTCCCCGATTTCCGGGGACAGTCCCCCGATTGAGACCGTCCCCTGGAAAAATTATGTCCCCTGGAAATTTCCCCGGGAACATAAAATAAAAAAGCACCTGTGACCTGAGGGCGCCAGGAAAGGGGGGCCTCAGAGCAGTCAGTGTCTCTCAGCGGGGAGTGGGATGACTTCATACGATGGGAGGCATGCTGTCAGCAGCACTGCAGTTATCAGGAGCCCTCCTGCACTTACACACCTGCTTCTGCATATTCACATACGTATATTTATATGTATGTGAACATATTTTATATAATGTATGTATGTATGTATGTATGTATGTATGTATGTATGTATGTATGTATGTATACAATATGAAACAAATACATATGAAAGTGCACTACTGTAATGTGGACAAGTCTCTCAGTTACTGAGTTTCTGGGAAATGGTGTGCATAAGCTCTTCAAAAACAGGGAAAGGAAACATAATCATCAAATACAATAAGCTGAAGAGCACAACTAACCAAATAAATATAGAGCAGTCTGATGTACCTTAGAGCTCTAAGGCTTGACAAAGAGGGTTACCCTCGAAACGCGTAGCCTGCCTACCGCCAATTCAACTTACATGTGGGTTCCACAGTACAGTACATCTCCCTCGGACCAACGAGCACAGACTGACAATACTCACTGGATCTCTCATTGATCGCTCCACACACGGCACAGCAACGCACTGCTCAGTGTGTATTCCAGCCGCCGGGCAGTTCTCCCTCTATTGCTCCAGCTGTCGCGGCTCGGCCTGGCCAGCCGAGTACGCGGACTGGAGACAATTTTTTGACCTTATCAGTCCGGCATTCTACAGACAAGTACCGCTGACCTGACGGGATCCCAGGGACTCCGTGTGCCAATTCAGGACATCTTAACTGTAAGTCACACACCTACCACTGTAATCTTAACCATTCAGCCAGGTACATCAGACTGCTCAGTATTTATTTGGTTAGTTGCGCTCTTCAGCTTATTGTATTTGATGATTATGTCCAGCAAAACATCAGGTTTATACAACATGGCTCTCAGGCTGTTTGGCACTACTGTACACCAGACCAGATATTATATGTGTAGTATGTGTCTGGTCTGGTGTCCAGTAGTGACAAACAGCCTGAGAGCCATGTTGTATAAACCTGATGTTTTGCTGGACTCCCCATCATTTTCAAAGGGTGCTTCTGTGCATCCTTTTTCATGATATACATATTCACATTATCTATATGTATCATCAATCTATAAAACTATATAATACATCCTCAGCCTGTCCATAGTTTTAATTTGTATGTTTTATTTAATTTTAGTATGTTAATTTTAGGTGCATTTGTTACTTACATAATGTTAATTATAG